AAAGCAGTTTGTTTTTTTCATTCGAAGTGTTACGATTTTATTTATCTGCATACTTTTTGTGAGATATCATTTAAGCAAATTCAAAGGTAGAAGCAGCATATTTAGTAACGAAGTATTCTTAACATTTTAAATTTGAGGTTATTTTGGTTTTCATACACTGAAAATACTTTAAAGTGACCTCACAAAATTTAATGAAGATTCTTCATTTTAGTTATTACACTCTTCAATATTCCAAAGATAATTAAATTCCAATGGAAGATGGGTTCTACCCATTAATTATCGTGTTTGACGGACGTGTTTTGGGCACATCAATTTGTCAGACTGGCTTCACTTGCAGAACATGGCCGACGTTGGTAATGTCACCTCCATATATTCATTGCTCCGTGGGGATACATTAAAGATTGTGGGTATGTGCCACCTTCACCACACAATCTACAAGAACCCAAGCTTAGGATTCAAGGAGTTGCCACAACTCTAACTGATAATATGCTCCAAAGACTACAGCAAGAGTTGTCTTCGCCATACAGAACTGAACTTCCGTTGCACATCCGTAGCACTGATTTTCGTAAAAATCTAGTACCCACGAAAGTCACGTGCCCTCTTCCAAGTAATTAATAGTGTTTTAAAATTCTTTATATAGCTATATGAACTATTGCTACTTGATGAAGCGCAATTTTTTATTTTTGCTGAGGAAATGAACCCGATTCAGTAAAGGCATCTGTATGGGACGTAGCAACCGGGCTTTGGTCACTGGAAGCCCGTACCGACTGCCTCGCCGTTTGTCTGAGGCCGCCGTCCTAGAACGGAGGGATTTAAGAGGATTTGATGCAAGCACATGGCACGCACAGGTCACAAATTCTGTGTGACAATTACTTGTTTTTTTATTTTCCTTGTCTTCTGTTCGGAGGGGGGGGGGACAAAACGTGAACTAAGAGTGGCAATAAAGATATCAAACATTTTACCTGGGTAATGTCAAATCCATGCTCTCTCGAAAACTCTAAATAATGAAATGAACTTAAAAAATTCAGGGAAAAATTAGTATTAATCAGCAATTGGATGACGCATGTAGGATTTCTATAAGAACACATAATGAACTTATAGACTCAAATTGGTACATTTTAAGTCTCATAATTGATGCACTAAAGTTTTGCGGCGAGTTTGAATTAGCTTGGCGTGGTCATGACGAAAGTGAAGAATCGAATAACCCAGGTATAATCAAGGGTTTAATAGATTATACATTAACTCTTGATATCATTTAAAAAAAAGTAATTTTGAAAATGGAAAATCGTTTCAAGGAATTTTAGACAATTCAAAAAGATATACTGGATGAAATTTTCAAAATTTGCCAAAAATGTATTGCACATAAAATAAATAATGCAGAATATGTCTACAAGCTGATGAAACAACAGACACTTTATGTAAAACTCAAATGTCTTTAATTTTAAGATTTCTGTCAGAAGGTAACATTCAAGAGCGATTCTGTGTTTTTCTGAAGTGATTGAGAGAGGTGTGAAGGGTTTAGTTGACAAGATTACAGAGTAGCAACATATATTAGGAATTGAGAAAACATTTGAAAAATGTATTTGCCAATCCAATGATGGGGCTGCTGTCATGAGAGGGCAAAATAGGGGTGCAGCGTTTAATAACAGAAAATTATCCAATTGCAACAAGCATTGTCATGCTCATGAAGCAAATCATCTACTTCTGAATGCCACATATTCCTGTTCTCAAAGCAGGGTATTTTTTCAAGATCTTCAAGGAATTGGAACATTTTTTTTTGAGATCTCCAAAACGAATGCATTGTTTGTCAGAAATTGTTCAAAAGAAACTCTATTTAGCTCCATCGAAAAGATGGTTCTTTCAGCATAGATGTGTTAATACAGTGTATGTATATAGAAATAGCCTGATGGAATGTTTTGATTATATTTAAGATAACGAATAGGAGAATTTTAAAGCTAATGGACAAGATGCATGATTTATATGGACCTTGAAAGATACAGATTTTGTACTTTGGTTAACTTTCTACAATAAAATTATGCCTCACGTGTCAGTTCTTTTTGATTCTGTTCAAGAAAGAAATATCGATGCTGAGGAAATCAGAACTCTTATTGACTACTTTTCTGACGCAGTATCAAATATTCCTGTAATGTATGAAGAGGATCAAGCTTCTTCAAATTAACCAATGAATGACCATTTGGTGATCTCAGGGAAGGTAGAAGAAGTAATTGAGATGTCGCTCTTGAAATATATGATTTTATTGTGAACAATACCACAGACAGATTTGATTTCTCAGATCATCTAAGTGCTGCGAAATTATTTCTAACTGAAAAATGTCCACAATACTCAGTGAAATTTCCTGAAAGTGACTTTCAAACTACGAGACAAAACACAAAAGTTAATGGACCAAAACTTAGAACAGAATTGGAAGTGATATATTCTCACAAAGACATGCATGGTGCTTCTGGGGCTCTTGTGCTACCCGACTTTTTCTTGGAGGATAATATGTCACATACTTTTCAAGAGTGAGAAAATCTTTGTAAAAATTATTGTTACCATACCCACCACCACAGTTGAGAACAAAAGATGTTTCTCCACTCTCAAACGGATTAAAACATTTCTACAAAACACAATGGACAGAGACACACTAAATGCATTAGCTATGCTTTCAACAGAAAAGAGAATGGTGCATGGTATTCCGGACTTCAACACTCAAGCGAACGAAATAAATAATCAATGTCCTGTGCCTGGAGCGGATCCGGCCGGTCACTTTTTCGGGGGGAGGGGAGGAGTGCCATCATAGATTTTTGTTACATAATAAACATATTTGTTATTATATAGTTTATTATTTTTATTATGTATAAGTGGTGCTATAAAACATTATTGTTTAAATAATTGAATACTAACAAATAAATATTTAAATCAATTTTATCAAATAAAAGGAAGGTAATAAACGAAAACTCGAGGGTTTTGGGGGAAAGGTTATGGTCGCCATAGCCCCCCCCCGCCACTGTCCTGTGCCCTCCCTAGTCAGACTCACTGGAGCTGCCACTAAAAAGCACCACTTGATTTCCTCTTTTGTATAACATACCTATGAAAGCTACATTGTATTAAGATTTTGTGCAATAATTAACAAACATGTTACTGTGTGTGAACACATTTTCAAGAATTTTGGCTATTGCACCTTTCCATTTTAAACAACCCAAATATTTGAATAAAAGGCACTGTCCTTTCCAATATTGTTATTTTCTTTAATTTTTAACTTTTATTCAAGTATCTGGAGTGCCAATAATACATCACCAATGTTAATTACCTAATTTAAACATACTTTTTGTCACGAATTAGACTATA